TCCTCCTGTGTTGTGATTAAATCCCTTTTGTGGCAGGGAAGCTGTTGCAGCAGCCAAGACCATTGGGCTGATGCTGCACAAACACGGTGGAGCAGATGGTCCTTGCCTCAAGGCATCACTGGAGCAATACATGGCAGTCCCTGCCAGCCACCCTGCCACTGCCACCAAGCAGCCAGCAGCGCCCCAGGGCGGCCCTGCCAGCCCCTCTGCCCACAGGGTTTCAGATGGGTCTCCAGCAGCTCCTTCCCCATCTTCCTTCACTGACATTTCTTCAAAGTGAAAAGGAGCTGCCACCCTCCTCTGTGCTCCCTGCACTAGTACCTGCCCCCATCAGCTGAGTCCAAACCAACCTCACTTTTGCAGTGCTGTGACAGCTCCAGGGACCAAATTCACTTTACCCCGAGGTCCCCAGGGGGTCCCCATGCAAAGAAGGGACCATTAGAGTAATGCTCATCTGAGATGTCCCCATGCATGTGGACACAGCATAGCAGAGAGCCAGGCTGAAGGCAAGGAGATGCTAGGGCTGGTCACTTCCATTGGCCACAGTCAGTGAAAAGGGACACGCTGCCCTGTGCCCTGTCTGCTAGAGGCAGCAGCTGCATGTCGGAGAACCTGGATCCTTGCAGCCTTTGCAAGGGGGCAAAATTATACGTTGAAATGCTGTGTCCCTTTCTTACCCAGATCTGCTTAGCGTCTTGCTCACAAGTCTGGTGTCCTTAGCACCGCTCTGTTTCATACAGAGAGCAGCATCAATTACTTGCTGAAGATGGCCTTGGAGAAGATCGCCTTCCTGCCCTTCGGCTACCTCATTGACCAGTGGCGCTGGAACGTGTTCAATGGCCGCACGCCCCCCAGCCGCTACAACTACGACTGGTGGTATCTGAGGTAGAGGACCATCACCGAGGGCAGATGGGTGCATGAAAGCTGGCAGTGTGCAAGGAAGGAGGAAGAATTGGCTACTAACATGGCTGGAGAAATGGCTTTGTGGATGGATGGACGGAAATAGAAGCACATCTAACTGTGCAGATTTCTTCAGCACTGTGCCTTCCCTTCCTGCTCCCTGCTCTGGTTCTTCTGCCTCCTTTGCAGCTCATGCTCCTCATCTCTGTTGTTTTGCAGAACCAAGTACCAAGGCATCTGCTCTCCAATTTCAAGGAATGAAAGCAACTTTGATCCCGGTGCAAAGTACCACATCCCTGGGAACACTCCCTACATCAGGTAGGAAAGGTGCTGGCGAGGGGATGGAGACCCAGGGGGTGATCCCAGCTCTGCGGGCAGGGAGTGGAATGCATTGGTTTTGCTCGGGGCTTAGAGATCATCCACACATGGCAGGGAGCAGAAGTGTGTGGCCAGATGCCTTCCTCCATGCCATGGGATGCGTCAGCTGTCCTTGGGCTCATCTTCACGGGCTTCCTCGGCAGGTACTTTGTGAGCTTCATCCTCCAGTTCCAGTTTCACCAGGCGCTGTGCGAGGCAGCCAACCACACCGGTCCCCTGCACACCTGTGACATCTACATGTCCAAAGAGGCTGGAGCCAAACTCAGGTGGGGACAGAGGAAAGTTGGGCGAATCACCATGGATGGGAGGAAAGAAGGAAGGGAAGGAAGGAATGGCTATAGAGATTGCTGGGAAAAATAACTTTTTAGGTGGGATGAAAATACATGTGATGGGGTGAGTGGGTTCCGCTGTCATCCCCATCACATGCTCCAACCTGGATGAGAGGTCACTAAAGTGTGTTCAGTTCCTGTCAAATGCCAAGGTTCTTAATGGATGCATGAGGATATGATGGGGAATCCTCTGTTCCTATATGCAGAACAGCCGGAGAGGCAGTTCGTAGGTTCATGTCCCATTCAGGAATAGTTTTTAACTCTTGGGATGCAAATACATGGGCTCCTCTTTTCTCCTATCCACCCCCTTCCTCATGCTGGCTCTTGTCCTGCTTCCCTGCAGCCAGGTGTTGAAAGCCGGCTCCTCCAAGTCCTGGCAGGAGATCCTGCTGGACCTCACTGGCACGGATAAAATGGATGCTGGGGCCATCCTGGAGTATTTCCGCCCTGTCACTGAGTGGCTTCAGCAGCAGAACAACAAGACCAACGAGGTGCTGGGCTGGCCTGACTTTGACTGGCGTCCTCCTATCCCCGAAGGCTACCCTGAAGGCATAGGTAAGGCTGCAGCTCCATCGTGAGTCCGTGATGGTCTCCTGTTTTCTTCTGCATCCTTTCTGCCCGGGCAGGAGGGTCTACAGCATGCAGTTTGTCCCCTTACATGCAGTTTGTCCCCTTAGCCCATCGTCTGTCCCAATAGGGTCCCCCAGCAGCATTCACCTGCCCCCATCCTTACACTCTTCCCCACACTTTTTTTGCAAAGAGGCAGTAGAGCAGGGTCTCTGTCCACCCCAAGGTTGTGTCACAGCTTCCAAAGGAACCTCTGTTTCTGACAGAGGCTCCGCCACAGCTTTTCCACTGAGGTGGTGCTCTTGCAAAGAGAAGGGTCCCATTGACTTTCCCTCTCTTCTTCCATTTATTTCTTTCTCTAGATAAGATAGCAGATGAAGAACAAGCTAAAGAGTTCTTGTCTGAGTACAACAGGACAGCTGAGGAGGTGTGGAATGCTTACACCGAGGCATCCTGGGCCTACAACACCAACATCACTGACCATAACAAGGAAGTCATGGTACGGAAGGGACTTTGGCATGGGGCAGAGGCTGCTCTGGTTTCTGGAGCCCATCCTCAATACGTCCTAAAGACCAGCTCCTGCCTTTGCTGTTGTGTCTTCTCGCACAGCCCAAAGGGAAATGTTCACACCTAGGAAATGCCTTTTCCATAAAAACCTTAGTCATGCCAGGAGGTACCCATCAATGGGATGTTGTCAGTCATCTGCAGCAGGTGGTGGGATTGGCTGTGTGTCTGATCTCTGCCTAAACCTTCTCCTGTCCTCTCCTGCCCTTGCAGCTGGAGAAGAACTTGGCCATGAATAAGCACACACTTGAGTATGGCATGAGAGCCAGGCAGTTTGACCCAACTGACTTCCAGGACCAAAGTGTCATCCGCATCCTCAACAAGCTGAGCATCATTGAGAGGGCGGCCCTACCTGAGGATGAGCTGAAGGAGGTGAGCTGCAGGACAGAGCATGAGAGGGTGTCCCTTGCCACGACGCTGTCCGGAGTCATGGGCTTCTCCTGGCTTCTAGGAAACTTCTAGGCAGATGCTCCTGTCCTTGTGCAAGGTGGTAATCTGGTACCTTCCACACCAAGCCAAGATCCTTGCCTGCAGGGTTTTCTATCCAAAGGTTGCAAATCCCAGTCTGCAGCATGACCTGCCTGTTTGGATGATGATGGTGCATTGCATTCTGGCCCTGACCCTTTCCATACTGATTCCTGTGGAAGACAAGAGATTCATGACCTTGGAGGATGGTGTGGAAGGGGCAAGAGGAAAACATGTAGAAACATGCCCACAGACTTTGCGTTCTCCAGGAGCAGAAACAAGGACAACCAGCTCACATAATCCAATTTCCTTTTCAGTACAACACCATCCTCTCGGATATGGAGACCACGTACAGCACAGCCAAGGTCTGCAGGGACGATGAAGTATGTCACCCCCTGGATCCTGGTAAGATCTAGCAGAGTTTCCGGCAAGTTCTCTGCAGCAGGCCCAGAAAGAAGGGATCTTCACAGGGGCATGGAAAGGCATGACAGGGCCTTTCCACCTTTTCTGTTCATGTTGGGTCTAGCATCATTGCATCAGGCTAGCCCATGCAGCAGTGTCATGTAGCTTCATTGCTCTCTCTTTAGACCTCACGGACATCCTGGCTTCCTCACGGGATTATGATGAGCTCCTGTTTGCCTGGAAGGGCTGGCGGGATGCTTCTGGAAAGCCCATCAGGGATGAATACAAGAGATATGTGGCACTGAGCAACAAGGCAGCCGTGCTCAACGGTTAGTGTCCTGCTCCCTCAGAGACCTTGGTGGTGGATTCACCATCTTCTGGGCAGGGGGTTGTACTGTTGGTCCAAATTAGAGCCAACGTCTTCAGGACATGGCAGTTCCACTGACGTGGTAGGGCCTACAATGCCTGAGAAGTGTGATGACCACTTGTCAGAGAAGGGAAGGCTCTGATGGCTTCTGCCCTTGCCCTCTCACAGGTTACACAGACAATGGGGCCTTCTGGAGATCCCTGTACGAGACATCCACCTTTGAGGAAGATCTGGAGAAACTATACGCGCAGCTGCAGCCCTTGTATCTCAACTTGCATGCCTATGTGCGCCGAGCCCTCTACAAGAAGTATGGTCCAGAGCGTATAAACCTGAAGGGTCCCATCCCTGCTCACCTGCTAGGTAAGGGCTTTGCTGGAGCCTAGTCCATCAGTGCATTTCTGGTCCAGCCTTGAGCAAGAGCTGTGTCTCCGACCAGCCAGAGTCTGCTCAAGTCATTGAGTCACTAGCCCAAGTCATTAGCCTAGTTGATGCCCCACTAATGCCCCCAAGCCCAGCCTTGTACTCTCTTCTTGGGCAAGATTAATTTCCCTGCCTCGCTGAGGCCAAACCAGAGCATGGAGCAATCCAGCTCCATCCCAGACGCAGGGTGTGACTTGCGGCCCCTTTGCATAGCCATAGATCTGTTAATCGTTCCCACTGAAGTTGTTCAGCTCCTGCCAGGGCTGAGTGGGCACCTCAGACCCGGTGGGGAAAGTGCAATCTCTGGCTGAGGAGCCAGGGTCTCCTGAAGCAGGTCTGCAAGGACGGGATTGCCACAGGAACAGGCAATGCCTCTCCCACACGGCTGGGCTCCTCCTTGCCTTGCCCTCATGCCGGCAGCACCGACCGCAGCCGAGGTGGCCCAGCAGTAACTCATCGGCTTTGTTCTCCTCTCCCTCCTCCACTCCTGCATTTCCTAGGCAACATGTGGGCCCAGTCGTGGTCCAACATTTTTGACCTGGTGATGCCCTTCCCGGAGGCCACCAAGGTGGATGCCACCCCAGCCATGAAAGCACAGGTTAGTGCTTTACTGCTCTGCTCTGGGGAAGCCCTGTGGGCCCAAGCACCCCTTGGTCTTAGGAATAAAGACTTGTCCTCCATCCTTCCCCTAGCACCCCCAGGAGTCCCACATCTCATCCTTTGCCCTTTGCTCCCCTCACAGGGCTGGACGGCCAGGAGGATGTTTGAAGAGTCAGACCGTTTCTTTACATCCCTGGGCCTCATCCCCATGCCACAGGAGTTCTGGGACAAGTCGATGATTGAGAAGCCAGCAGATGGACGGGAGGTGGTGTGTCACGCGTCCGCCTGGGACTTCTACAACCGCAAGGACTTCAGGTACCCGTTGGGAGCAACGAAAACCCCCGGCAGCCACGATGCTGGGAGGAGATAGTGGTGTCCTGGCAGAGACATGGCCTGGTGCCTTTGCAGGGTCTCTCACCCAGGCGCTGGGGCAGCCCTGCTCCAGTGCTGCTGGTACCAAAGATGCTGGTGCTGCAGGCAGGAGCCCACACGGCAGATGGAGAGCAAGAAAGGGCTGCCCTGCCCTGGACGATGGAAAAGCCTGGGGAAAGGAAAGGTCAGGGACATCAGGAGAAGAGGAAAGCAGCTCCATGGAGCAGGACCAGCCCAGTCTGGCATGAAACCCAGAGTGCAGGAATATGGGAAGGGATGCCAAAGGGAGAAGTAGCACAAGTGGGTGCAATCATTTCTGGACAATTTCACCTCACCACTGCTCTCCCTTCTTTCCTGCTCCCACATCTCCTGGTCCAGGATCAAGCAGTGCACAGTGGTGAACATGGATGACCTAATCACGGTGCACCACGAGATGGGCCACGTGCAGTACTTCCTGCAATACATGGACCAGCCCATCTCGTTCCGTGATGGGGCCAACCCTGGCTTCCACGAGGCTGTTGGGGATGTCATGGCCTTGTCCGTCTCCACCCCCAAACACTTGCACAGCATCCAACTGCTGGACCAAGTCACAGAAGATGAAGGTGAGCTGGTAGAGGAGCATCACGCTCCGTGGAGAGACTTCAAGAGGATCAGGATGGGCTGGACAGAGTAGAAGGGGTCAAGTACATGCACAGTGGGATGCATGAATGAAGGGGACAGGATGCGGGTGAGGACACCCTGCTCTTGGGCAGGATGATACATACACTGCAGAGTAGAAGGCAGATCTGCCTGGCTATTCCCTTCCCATTCCTGCCCGACTAATCCCTTTCCATCCTGGGCAGAAAGCGACATTAACTACCTGATGAGCGTCGCCTTGGACAAGATCGCCTTCCTGCCCTTCGGCTATCTCATGGACCAGTGGCGCTGGAAGGTGTTTGATGGCCGGATCAAGGAGGATGAGTACAACCAGCAGTGGTGGAACCTCAGGTGCACTCAGAGAGCTCGAACTTGGACCCCCCTCTTTGGTGCAGGGGCCTTGACCATAGCCCCACTGGGTAATTTCCCCCTGCGACCGAGCTGGCCTCAGCGGGATGTGATGGGACACGTAACCCCCTTGCTCCCCGCCTTATCCTGTCCCAGCTCCTCCTCATGGTGCCCCTCCATGCACACTCTGCAATGATGTCTCTCCACTCCCCTCTTTCTCCCAGGAACCCTCCTTTGCACTGACCTAACTCTCACTTTCTGGCCCAGGTTGAAGTACCAAGGCTTGTGCCCACCAGTACCTAGATCTGAAGATGATTTTGACCCTGGAGCCAAGTTCCACATCCCTGCCAATGTCCCATACATCAGGTGAACTGGTGGGACTGGGAGGGATTGCCTTGGACAGATTATCCCCTGGAGAAGCAGGATCCCAGATTCAGATGGGATCTGAATCCCACATCTGAGAAGAAAACTGCCCATCCTGGATGTGCTGGATAGCCCAGGGGATCAGGCAGAGGATCAGGAGGGGAAGGTGGATGCGTTAGGAGTCGTTCCTTCCTTTCCTAGAAGGACGAGCTCATTCCTCCAGGTATAAAGCACATGCTAAAGGGAGAAACAGGATTAGGAGAAACCTCGCCATATCCAGATGAGGCCAGTGATCCTCCTCAGGATGGGAGGGCAGAATTTGGGGACAACGGGGTCATAACCCCCCTGCACATCCAGTAGCAGTAACCGGACGCTGGAGAGACATCCCTCAGCCTGTCACTGTTGGGTTCCTCACCCTGCTCCGGTCCCTCCAGGTACTTCGTCAGCTTCGTGATCCAGTTCCAGTTCCACGAGGCGCTCTGCAAGGCGGCCGGGCACACGGGACCCCTGCACACCTGTGACATCTACCAGTCCAAGGCAGCTGGCAGCCTCCTGGGGTAGGTGCCCATGGCCAAGTGCTTTATGTCCCTAAAGACGTTAGGCTGGTCACATCTTGGCCATGCTGGCAAGGGCAGAGGGCTCACAGACTTTCCGGGGCTGGGATGCAGCAGCCGCTCCATGCAGGAGCCCTGCACTGGGATGCCCCGGTCCATGGCCCTGGGGTCGGGGCAGGGGGGACCGGGGTTGGGTGCAGTGGCTGTGATTGCAAAAGCAGCCACTAGATGGTAGCTGGGACCCTGCAGGAGGAAGGCCCTCCCCCTCCTCCTCCACCTGCTCCATAGGGAAAGCAACTCCCTTTCTTCATGGAAAATTATCCCTTTCACCCACAAATCAATCTGCATCAAGTCTTTGGCCGTGTTAACGTCCCCAGGACACATGCAGCCCCCTACCCCTGCTCGGCGCCCTCGCAGCCCCACGGGTGTCAAGGGGGCACAGACTGCACCCCAGGGTCCCTCTCCCCAGGAGAGCAGAGTGGAGAAAAGGCAAGGGCTGGTCTGAGGAGAGGCCCAAGTTTCTGAAGGACCCACTGGACCCAATTTCTTCTGGCACAGGGAGGCCTTGAAGCTGGGTTTCAGCAAGCCTTGGCCTGAAGCCATGGAGCTCATCACCGGCCAGCCCAACATGTCTGCTGAGGCCCTGATGAGCTACTTCGAGCCACTCATGACCTGGCTGACCAAGGAGAATGAGAAGAACGGGGACGTCCTGGGCTGGGCCGAGTACGACTGGACCCCATATGCAGGTACATGGGGCTGGGACAGGTCAGAGCTTGGCCCTTGCTAGGGCAGGGATGGGGCACAAAGGGGACATGGAGCTGGTGGCTCTACCTGGCCCAGCGCCCCTTCCTCACTCCAAAACCACAGCACATTTCAATGGTTCCCCTTGATTTCTTGGGGAGCTGAGAGGCCAAAAGGGACAAGACATCCTGGGACTCTACAGAGCCCAGCGAAGGGGCAGCAGGGGCTGGTCCCCCAATGCACCAGGTTGCAGAGTCGCCAGCTGAAACCCTCTCCCTCTTTTCTTGATCTTTTTTTCCAGCTACTCAGGCACAAGGCGGCTCTGACCGAGCTAATTTCCTGGGCATGTCCCTGGGCACAAGTCAAGCCACAGCAGGCGGCTGGATCCTGCTTGCCCTGGCCCTCGTCTTTGTGGTGACCACCATCATCTTGGGTGTCAAGATGGTCTTAGTCAGGAGAAGGGCCTTCAAATCCAGCTCGGAAATGGAACTGAAATAAGGCAGCTCCCAGGGGGAGCAGCACGCACACCGTGCAAGCACCAGCACTCAGGAACCCGGCAGGGACGCGCCACGCGAGGGCCCCGGGCACACGCAGGATCTCGGCAGCCCGACGAGGCCATGGGTTTCACCAGCCCAGCAACAACTCCTTCCAATCAGGTCAGACACTTCTTTCACTATGCAAGAGCCAAAGCAGTAAACACCTATTTATTTGCCAACACCTGCATCGTGGGAAGAGAAACTCAGGCCTGGACAAGCAGCAGCCACCAAGTCATTCCTGGCTGCCCAACATCCCAGACGGGGAGGGACAGGGTCCCTCCAGCCCCACCAGCCCTTCCCCCCCCTTCTGGGGGGGGAAAAGCCAAGCCAAGGGGGCTTGGAATGTGCAGAGGGCAAACAGGGGAGAGCCCGACTGTTTTCTGCTCCCAGTTTGCCCACTGCTGGGCTGTTTGCTTGCATGGATGAAAAATAAAACCGTCGTGTTAACCCCAGAGCACTGGATCTGCTCCTTCTTGCATGGGGAAAAGGGCCCTGGGAGCTCCCAGGGGCAGGAAAGCTGCTGGTCCAGCCTCATCCAAATGCAAATCCCAGGGCACCAGCCTGGCTTTGGGGCAAACCCCACCAGCAGCATCCTCTGCAGCCCTCATCATCCTCACCCCGCAGCATTCCCATCCTCCAGGCAACACTCATGTGCTTCCCATGGGCACGTTCCTAAGCAAGGGGATAAATCAGGGCAATCAGTCCCCACTGGAGGCCAGACAAGTCCAATATGCTAAAAGGTTTGAGGGTCAAAGAGCGACCCAAGCCCCCTCTCCACACAGCAGAGCCTGGACTTCACCATTCCTGGCAGACTCGGTACTTTATATAAGAGAAAGAGGGGCTCAGAGCTCTGCAATCGCCTTCTGCCCTTGATTATCTGGGGATCAGCTCTGCTTGAGGCTTTTTTTTTTTTTACCCTCCCCAGTCTGTCTTCTGCTTCTGTAAATAAAACTTCGTATTTGTTCTGCAGTGATTAGGTGCAAAAAAATAATCCCAGCCCGGGGATTATTGCAGCCTTCAAAAGCCAAGCTCAGCGGCAGCCCTGGCTAGAAGGGGAAATGAAAGATCACGGGGCGAGAGCCATTCTGTCCCCCTCCGAGGTGACATCCTCTGCCTGCAGCCAGGTGCTAAGGGGGGAAACGGAAGCCCGGGAGGGCACTTGGCATTTCGGTGCAGTCGGAGCGGAGCCGAGTGCAGGTGCCTCCCTCCTACGCTCGCTCTGTGTTTGCTCTGCATCCTTGTGCCGCGGGGCCAGGCGGCAGCGCTGCCGCGGTGCCAGGCGCTGGCACTCGAGTTACCGAGCGAAGCACCTGCATGAGGGGCACCCACAGAGCCAACAGAGATGGGGCTGCACCCTGCATCCCCTCCCCAACCTTCAACCAGCCAGCAGAGGCCCATCCAGCTGAAGTCCATTTGGAAGCCAAGCAAGGATGGGAAACGAGGTGGTTCTGGGGGGGACTCCATGGATCTGGCAGCTCTTCACATTCTATTTAGGGCTCCTTTTAGCCCCATTGCACAGAGGATCACAGGCCTCCAAGATCACAAAGTTCCTACAAAAAGCAATTTCAGCATAGATGAAAGATCCAGGCTGTGAGCATCCTCCCTGGGGGTGTGCAAGCTCAGCCCTAATTAGACATCAGAGAAGCCACACCTGCCCTGGAAGGGGCTCCATCAGAGGGTGAGGGGTGCACAGAGCTGTCACTCAGGCCCTGCTCCATCAGAGATCTGCAAAAAAGCCCCAGTTTTGCCCAGGAAGGCCCCGTCCCAGCGCGGGGACGAGGCCCGACG